CTTTCTTAAGTAATGCTTTAACTTGTACTCGATCGTTTATAGTAACTAATTTACTATTAGCGGATATTTGGCGTGAGATTCTGTTCGATTTTCGCTAAAAAAGGGTCGCTACAATCAAATTAGAGATGCAGATGTACGAAACGTTTTGAATACTTCAGTAGCTGCAGAGTGTAGGGTACTCAAACTGAAAGTTGTGGGTTCTTTGTTACAGTAGTATTATTAATATGTGGGAATTTACCTGCTCCCAAATTACTTATCGAAGCGCATACCTACCCTTCGTGATTTCACGAGAGCATTCAGGGCGAATTGAATTGACTCGCGTACAGCACAAAGTATCACTATTATACAACTGAACCTATAATTAATACATATTTCTCGTTTATGAATTACTGCAATATTAATTTACGTATACTTAATTGATAATTTCCGCTTAGCCACATTACTCAACACCCCAAATACATCCGACGTGGTTTTGTTGTGATGATATTTTGGATTTCTATCATCTATAAAGGTAAACTGAAATTAATAGGTTTGATCTTGAGATGATTATAATAGGTTGAGGACGTTGAGGTATATTTGATTTCGTAGGAAACTTTCTGTTTACATAAAATACTATTTTACAGCAATATCTTTAACCGTTCTCTTCTACTATAGTTTTCTGGTAAAGTAAATGATGCAAAAGTGAGTATCTCTAAAGTAACTGAGATCCCCATGGCGAGGCCCAAGACCAGAATGAGCGAGTATCAATCCTGTGCTATGAATTCAGAGAAAACCCTGTAGTTTGCAAGGAGTATATGTGCCATTTGTTTGTAGATTTTTGCTCCAAAAGAAATATATATAGACGTCCAAGTTGGTCTGACTAACAGCCTAATCACTAGGGCTAGGATTTTAATGACGTTAAAAATCAGCGAAAATGCAAAATAGAAACTGCAATTATGACTTAAAAATCTCGCAAAAATGACATAAAAATTTAAAAAAGATGACATTTTAAATAACAAATAAATTTATTGATTAAACTGAATAAAACCGCATTAGAAGCAATTAGGCGAGGGTTGCCTAGGATGTGTGGTAACTGTTCATCCTTTGATTGTGCTGCTCTGGTGGCTCGGGAACTGAAAGAAGTGGGTATGGAAATTGTCTCCACGCGAGAGAAAGCATCTGTCACAACGTTTTGTTCTCCAAGCGTGAATTGATTTGACGTGGCGAAGCTTTATCGAACCGTTGTGCCAGGGCGAAAGTATGGGAACGATAGTCAGTGTTGATGGTCAAAGGTCGACTTTCCATGATTCGCCGAAAGTATTTTAGGGCCGCGAAAACATCTGATAATTCGCGATCGTGTAGGCGGAGTACCGCTGTTCGGTCTCGGAGAGCCTCTTGGATAAAATTCGCGCGTATAAGGGATACAGCGCTAACACGGTTTCCGCTGCATCCTAACCAACACCCTTACTGCCCAGGAAGATCTACGGAATCAGCCCTGCGCTAGATTGTAGGGCAGATTGAGAAATCGCTGTACTATAAAGAGTCCACACTGGGAGCATTCATAGATATAGAAGGGGCTTTTGACGAAACAACCTTCGATAACAATAAAAATGTCTCTACGCCGCCACGAAAATCGTACGAGGCTGGATTGCTCCTTATACCCGGCAAATTTGAGGGTACTTTATGCAGACTGATGTAATCAGCTCTTACAGTTACCGGAGAATGGTGTAGGGAACACTCTTTGTCCATCAACCCGACAAAAACGGAGCTAGTTTTCTTCACAAGAAAAAGAAAGGTAGAGGGTCTTCGAGCTTCCCTGCTATTCCAAAAACATCTCCAATTTTCAGAGTAAAGGTTGGTTCATAGCTGTCCGTTCATCCGTTGCGTTGATCCGTCAAACGGATAGAAAATTTTGTTAAGGTTCATAGCAATCCGTCCACATTGTACATTTGCAAGTATAATCATAACCTAAACTTTATTTTGTACTGTACCGTCAATGATTTTCAGTATGTAAAAATGGTACGAAAGTAAGAACACATTGCTATCTGGCATATTACCGTGAAGAACGAGTAGGCGAACGCTGTTAACGTACCAAACATAACCTCACTCTTGTTAAAAACGGACCAACGGAAACGTAAATGTTCAACTTCAACCAACTTTTCCGTCGTAAACGGACGACGTACGATTTAAAAATTTGCTGTCTTCTGATTGGCTAACGGACAAACGGAAACGTATGAACGGAGAGCTATGAACTTACCTTTACGGCCAGTTGCACAAAAAAATCCAGGATTATTGTTCAATCCGGTATTACGACATTTGATTGGCTTTATACTGCAGTATGCAGCCAATCAAATGTCAAAATTCTTGTTTAAACTCAGATTTGGCAAATAATCTAGGATTTTGATTTTAATTCGCTTTCCCGCAACCGGCCGTCAGTGAAATATCTAGGAATCACACTCGACAAAAAACTGAATTGGATTAAAGGCATAATATCACTTTTAGAACAACAAGAAGCTTAAAATCTATACCTTCACAAGCTGCTAGGGACACACCAATTGCCTGAGTATGAACTAACCAACAAACATCTTCTTCATATGAGACGGAAGCATGGAACAATGAGCCATAGTGTTAAAAATAGTAGACAAGTCAAGAAAAGTGACAGTTTTCCAGTGAGTGAAAAGTTGTATTTTGTAACGGTTAGTTACCTACATTACAGGGGTTGAAGACCCTCGTTCGTACCCACGGCTAGCTCTTTAACAACATTTGAATACTCCTCACCTTGCGGAAGTTTGACTTGTTGTCTCCTTTTTCTGATCTGATCTGAAAATCAAAACTTGACTCTTTTTATGCACAATTAATTTCTGGTAATTTTTTATACAAAATATTTATTACACACATTATGGCTAAACAAAATTTGAATTCATGCAGGAATATTGTCATTGAAATGAAATCAAATTCCCCAGTTCTGGAAAAATAACCAAATTCCTTTGTATGGATTCACTTATTACAACTAAATGCAATACAAATCTGTTACAATATATTCCCGTGTGTCTGGCCAAAATTCTCGAACGTGTAAATCGAATTGTTGTTGTTAGTGCACAAGAATAACACGATGCGAAGAATCGCGAACGATTTTCAGTAGGGGATTTTTACCACTCAGCTCGCATTTAGAAACCAGGCGAGATTGCGTTATGCCATTATTTTCTGGGGATCATCTACATACGCATCAAAAGTGTTTATGGTGTAGAAAAGAATACTGCGCTGCTTGGTGGGCATTAAGAAATGGGAATCATGCAAAACCCACTTTATTGAGCTTAGTTTTCTACTCTGCCATCTATTTTCGTACTGGAGGTTTTACTGTACATATATAAAAATCAGCATAAGTTTGTGCGCAATGGAGACTTACACAATTACAACACAAGAAGGCAACGAGATTTCTCTGTACCGGTATCTAAACTCAAAGTATCCCAACAGTCACCGCATTGGCATTAAGCTCTTCAACAATCTCCCCAGCACCATGAAAAATATAAAGACTGGGAATTCAGATTAAAATTAAAAAAGTTATTAGTACAAAATGCAATCTATAAAATAACAACGAAGGTCTTCAACCCCTGTAATGTAGGTAACTAACCGTTACACAGTACAACTTTTCACTCACTGGAAAACTGTCACTTTTCTTGACTTGTCTACTATTTTTAACACTATGAAGAAGATGTTTGTTAGTGAGTTCTTACTCAGGCAATTAGTGTGTCCCTGGCAGCTTGTGAAGGTATAGATTTTAAACTTCTTGTTGTTCTAAAAGTGATATTATGCCTTTATTGGCTACAAAAATACCTATTCAGAAAAATGATTTTTGAAAATAGTCATTTAATATCAAAGCCTTGTTTCGAAACATTGTATTAAATTTTTGAATTCTTTAGTAATAGATCGACCAAATGCATTTAAGTGCTTAGCAAAAATTCCTAAATTAATAATTCATAAATAGGTACATATGTTTTAAAAGTCACATAAATAATGAAATTTGATGCAGGTTGCTTTGGTACTAGGGGGTAACTAGGAAGGAAGATACGCTTTTACTGGTAACGATTCCGGTCTCAAAAACACGTTGTTAAGAAAACGGAAGGAGAACTGGAGAATAAGCACATGGTTCCCGAAACGTTCAAAACTCTCGACCGCTTGTTTAATTATAAATTGCTAAGTTGTAGCGTAAAACCTGTGGGTGGGTATATTATCACATTTGGAGTAATTCCTACGAAAATGGTAAAATGCCAAATGGTTCTGTATTTACTGGTTTTTGTTTTCGTCGATGGTAACGGAAGGATACGTTGATGAGGGTCTTTAAATCATTGGTAATGTTTGTGAATTAAATGATGCGTATATACCTTTTCGATAGCGTCCATATCTTCAATAATAACTTCTAACTGCTCTGTTTCAAAGTAGCTACTTCCAGGTGTTAAAAAGTAACTGTTCATCATTAATTAAAAAATGTGTTTGTTTAAGTTATACGATTTCAATCAGATTATCGTGTGGAAAATCGTTTTCCCACTCATTTTTCTATGCATGTAACAAAGGATACTTTTTGTCAGCAAATAAGACATTCTAGGTATTTTGTACACAATTACAATTCTACTTACACCTAATTGCGATCATTGATAAGTAAATTAAGTATTCATACAATAATTAGATAATTTAATTGCAGATACGAAAGTAAATACTTTGTTGTCAATTTGAGTGATTTCGAACAATACTGGCGGCCGGTGGCGGGTGAAATAAAGGTCTTTGTTTGTGCACATTTTTACCTACCTTTATGGGTTTTTAAGTACGAATACAAATTATAACAGAAATGTTTAAATTAATCCCGGAACAATTAGCGACATCTACAAGACAGTAGCTCGACTACAGCAACACATTTGACAGGTTTCATTTGCATGCTGTAGAAATTTAGAATTCACCCGGAGAATGCTGTAATAAATTCACCCAACGAACCAATCGTATTCAGCCACACGATTATCGCGAAATAATCAGCCGGTTTAACGTCAACAGCTGTAAAAACACATGGCTTGACGTGGTTTTCTTGACCAATAAAGTGTGCTTTTGCTTACCAATAATTTACCAATTCTTTTCTATTACCTGACACCAAACTTGTGGTAACTGTAAGTATGCTTTTTTACCCCAATTGTTATCTGTTTGAACACTGGAAGAATTTACAATTTCTAACCTCTTGAGTTTGATGCTGTTTTGATGCAATTTCTTTTTTAGGAGCAGCATGAATTTTGTATTGATAGTTTCGGTGTTGGCTACAACACTGTTAACGGTTACACAAGTGAATGGGATTGCTGTCATGTCGATTGACTTCGGTGCTGAATGGATGAAAATTGGAATTGTGTCTCCGGGTGTGCCAATGGAAATTGTGTTAAATAAGGAATCAAAGAGGAAAACACCGGCTGTTGTAAGTTTCAAAGATAACACTAGAACTTTCGGTGAAGATGCTCAGACGATCGGTATTAGGTTCCCTAGCAATAGTTATTCTTATTTAATAGATTTGTTAGCTAAAGACATTAATCACCCCATTGTGAAATTATATCGGTCTCGGTTTCCTTATTATAACATTGTGGAAGATACACAACGTGGAACAATATTGTTTCAACACGATGATGAAACATTGTACAGTCCTGAAGAATTGATTGCTCAACTTTTGCACCGTGCAAGGGAGTTTGCAGAACAAAGTGCACAACAACCGATTAAGGAATGTGTGCTAACAGTACCAGGGTATTTTAATCAAGCGGAACGAAAAGCCCTAATTCAGGCAGCGGAGTTAGCTAATCTCAAAGTATTACAATTAATAAACGATTATACAGCTGTAGCACTTAACTACGGTATATTTAGGATTAAGGATTTCAATGAAACCGCACAGTATGTTATGTTTTTTGATATGGGGGCGACTTCTACAACTGCGACCATTGTCGGTTACCAGACAATCAAAACAAAAGAACGTGGATACGTGGAAACCCATCCACAGCTTACTGTAATTGGGGTGGGATACGATCGCACGTTGGGTGGGTTAGATATTCAGTTAAGGCTGCGCGATTATTTAGCTACCAAATTTAACGAAATGAAGAAAACTTCCAATGACGTCTTTAAAAACCCAAGGGCCATGGCCAAATTATTTAAAGAAGCGGGGCGCGTTAAGAATATTTTGTCGGCTAACGCGGATCATTTCGCACAAATCGAGGGGTTGTTGGACGAAGTTGACTTTAAATTGCAAGTGACTAGGGACCAACTTGAAAGTCTCTGCGGGGATCTGTACGGTCGCGTGGCTGCACCTGTGAAACAAGCTTTGAAAATGGCCGGTTTGTCTACAAGCGTGATCGGTCAAGTCATCCTCTTTGGGGCCGGTACCAGAAGTCCAAAGGTTCAACAACTATTGCATGATATCGTTGGGCAAGAACTCGCTAAGAATATTAACACGGATGAAGCAGCTGCAATGGGCGCAGTGTACAAAGCAGCCGATTTAAGTACAGGCTTCCAAGTGAAGAAATTCATAACCAGAGATGCTGTTCTGTTTCCCGTCCAAGTCGTATTTGAACGTGAAACGGAAGGCAGCACTAAGCAAGTCAAACGTACACTCTTCAGCTTGATGAATCCGTATCCGCAGAAAAAGATCATCACCTTCAACAAACACACCAGCGATTTCAGCTTTAGCGTGAATTACGCAGAATTGGATCACTTACCAGAAACCGAAATTTTGAGCATAGGCGCCCTAAATTTAACATCAATCAGCTTAGACGGAGTCGCCGAGGCTATCAATCGAAACAAGGGCGAGAATCGCGAGAGTAAAGGAATTAAAGCGCATTTCGCCTTCGACGAGTCGGGCATTCTCAAGTTGGTGAATGTCGAATTGGTAATCGAGAAAACGGTCAACCCGGAAGCCGAAAACGACGAAGAGGGCACACTGTCAAAGCTCGGAAGTACAATCAGCAAACTGTTCACCGGCGAAAGCGATACCCCCGAAGCCGAGAAACCCGTAGAGGAAGCTAAACCTGAAGAACCCAAGGAAGAATCTTCCAATGCTACTAGCAAAAATGAAACGGCTCAAGCGAAAAACGCGACGGAAAAAGAACCAAAAGAAGCAAAACCGAAAATTGTCACAATAAAAGATCCAATCAAAGCGTTTGAGAAGACGCTTTATATTAACAAGCTCACCAAACAACAAATGGAGGAGTCCGCCAACAAGTTAGAAAAATTAAACGTAGTAGAACGCGAATTAAACCGAAGGGCCACCGCCTTAAACAACCTGGAAAGTTACGTCATCGACGCCCAAAACAAGCTCTACGAGGACGAGTACTCCGGAGCATGCACCGAGGAAGAATTGGAAAAAATTCGGACATCGTGCAGCGAAATTTCCGATTGGCTTTACGAGGACGGATCGGAAGCGGACGCCGAGACGTACGAATCCAAACTAGGCGAACTGAAACAGCTCACCAAAAACCTGTATTTGCGCGTTTTGGAACACAGAGAAAGGCCCGAGGCAATCAACGCCCTAAAATCAATGCTGAACGGTTCCGTTCACTTTCTCGCGTCCGCCAAAAACCTAACCAAACAAACAAACCCCGAGAAGGACGTCTTTACGGAAGTGGAGATCGAAACTCTCCAACGCGTCATTAACGAAACACAAGAGTGGATGGACAAAAAGGTTGCCGAGCAAGACCAATTGAAAAAATCCGAGCCCGTTAAATTAACCGTTAGGCTGTTGTCAGAAAAGATGGCGTTGTTAGACAGAGAGGTGAAATACTTGGTGAATAAGATTAAAATCTGGAAACCGAAGAAGACTGAGAAACCTAAGGAAGAGAACGTGACGGCTGAACGTGAAAGTAACGTCGAAGCGGAGGCACCAGAGGAAACGATTGAAAAACCTGAAGGCGAAGCGGAAGTGACTGACGAAACTGAAGAGTCTGAGAAATTATCGGATGAAGAAAATCATGTAGAATTATAAATTTTTAGTGCAATTATAGACTGAATTTTTTAAATTTTTTTACCCCGTTCATTTTTTGGTAGTGTAGTAGGTAATCATATTTGACATTATTTCAGTGCATTTACTGTTATTAATTTGATTGCAAAAAGTGCACAATTTTTCAGAATTATGATTGACAGTATGAGGCGTGTACATTTTTTATCATAAGTAATTGTTTGTCAAATTAAAGTTAGTTTGGGAACTTGTGGAGTGCGTAGTAATTGGCATTTATTTATATAATTTAATGCAAACCAGAATTCTTGGCGTGTGATGTTCTCAAATTCATCCAGTGTGTTTATATACCTAATTAGATAGTTTCAAACACTGCACTAGTATGAAATAATTTGTACCCAAAAGTTAATGAATCAAAATAGTATAATGTAATACTTTCTATTTTTGTATTTTGTCTGTTATAGTGCTAGATCTTAATTCCCAGCTAATGCTTACTGCAATTGTTTGCGTTGTGTGACAGTACTTTTGTTATCATAGGTAGAAATCGTTAATGTCATTTGGATTAATTACTACGTTTTTCGTTGTACTTGTTTTCGTGATTTTTTATGATTAAGAAATTGCAGCAATGTATAAAATTCATTCCAATAACTTAAATTATTTATTGCAAAACGTTTGAAATATATTTATTGAATATATGTTTCATTATTTGAAGAAGAACCAGCAGAGTGACTCCAACTAATATACTTTGAGTATAGAAATAATTAGAAAAGGTAATAGGTATAAAATAGGTAAGTAGGTAATACAAAAATATAATGTAATATATTGTGCTTCATTTTTATTTTACTATAGCCAGCAGTTAGAATTTGCCTAGCTGTGGGTATATTTATAAATATTTATATTACAAATACCGTAAGGGCTTAAACACGTGTCGATTTTTTCTTAATAATGTCCGCGAAAATTCATTTGCCAATTTTAAGATCAATTTCAAGAAAATAACATTGAAGGAAGTTGAACAAATTCTATTTCTGAGTCACAATTTACTGTCATATGATTATGATTGTTATATCACTTTATCAGATTCACATGCAGTAGAAATTGTGTGAAAGGTGGAAGACGGTTTATATAAATTGACAAGAAAAAGTAGTAAATAGAACTTGTTTCAATTTTAGGTACCTACTTGAAGAAAAGAGTTATACGTGCAATTTAATTTCGGAATGCGTAAAGAAAAAGTAGCAGAACTGTGAAAGCTCTCATAACAAGAAATTAATTCACGCGTCAAATTAGTACGTTATTCATATCAAATGTATACTTCATTTAAATTCAAACATAGTACA